ACCTTTTAGATCTAACTATGTTTTCGTTAAATTTCAACCTTGAAATCAATTCTCCATTAAAATTGCAAAGACGTGGCAAAAATTCCAGTAACACAAGCTGCTAATAAGCTTAAGCCATCACCATTTTCCTAGCTAGAAGAGCGTACTACATGTGCTTCATTAACAAATTAATTATATCGAGTTATATTACTAATAGTGCGTGGCCAGATTTGACTGGCGCACGCATAGAGACCAGCAGTAAAATATATAATTCCCTTGTAGAAAGGAAGTCTTCAGTAACAACAGTCCAAAGATGTTAATCTGTTTAGTTTCTAAGTTTCGGCTCTGTTGCGACTGTTGAGATAGGCGGAGACGAAAAAGACGAAGCCATTACCAAGGACTAGTCATGATCATTTCGATTGAATGAACCCCAAAACTAACAATAGTACTTAGGTATATAATAAAGATATTCACTATGGCAACAATATTTTTCTCGACTAATTTTGATTATAGCTCAGGTCTTTTTCAGTTTAACACCTGACTGCTCTTTATGTTAATTCATATTTATAGCTCAGCAAATAAAAATTCACAACACGTAGATTCTTGTTATTCGTATTTTTAATTTTCTTTCCTTTCCTCCGAAAAACTCATATAGAAAGCGAAATATCTACTGTTCGAAGCCTTTTTCAACCTATTTGTCAGATTTCACAATTTACTACAGATGCTTTTCGTAAACCCGGACGAAGCCTAGTTGAGTGTCTAACCAAAATATCGCGCTATTAAATTACCCTATCTTTCAGCTGTCAACTTGCATTTGCTGTAAGGTTTTATTCTACATTACTGATCCTGATCTACACAAAGATCCGGCTTCACTTTAGTTCCTGGCCGTTTACGTTATATGTACCCCTATCATAATTAAGGTCCGTTTTTCGGGTATATTCACATAGTACGATGGTATTAGCACTTTTTTTGCAAAATATTATGTGGTCGTGTGGGTCAGTTTGTTTTCATGTGGGTAAACGGGTAAAACTAAAACGGACGCCTTCTAGTACGTGCTCGAGTTTCTCTTTACACCTTGTTTTGGGCAAAATACAAATTTAATACGGTTAATGTGTATTCAATGCCTATACAGTAGCCCTCGTCACAAATTTCCGAGGCGAGTTTTGTTGTTAATTGTTCAACAGAATTTCGAACTATAATGGTCATGGTAGCCTGTCCCATGCTCAGGTGGAACGAACTGGACGGACGATTTTTAATAATGACTTTTCATGTTGCCTGTCCTGGGGTGACAACTTACATTGTAGTAATTTGAAAATTGAAAGAAACCTCGGCTAGTAGTAGGGTATATAAAACTTTGTCCGCTGACTGCCATTTCACTGCACTGCATTCAGGCTCGCAAGTTATTCTGGCAAGTACGTGGTTTCCATATTAATATTACCAGTTTTTCCTCATATCTATATTGTGTAAGCTAATTATCAAAGCGCATGGTGACTTAATTCTTAGTTCTTCCTGTTTTCCTGAATTATTGCACTGTTAGCCAAAAGCAAAGCAGGTGATGTCTTACGGTTGTGTCATAACTTAAAGTTTAAAATAGACAGAACACAGCCTTAATTAGGATGGATGATGACACGTTTATTGATCTTGAATCGATCAGTTGTTCTCACGCACTACTTTTAAGACAGGGAGTCTAATCAATAGACATGTTAACCCCTGAGATCAATTTTCGGTTTCTTGATTTTAAGCGAATAAGTAACATTTCTAGAAAAATCCACGGAACTAAGCATCATTTTTGTAGCACGGAACTGAGATCCATTAGCTTCCTCTCCCTCTCCCCTGTAGATGCGTACAGTACTTAGTTACGTTGTAGACCCCTGACAGTTCTTATATTTCCTCGAACGTAATAATCAACGGCTTTGCCATTCATCCCTGTAGGTGTTTCATGCGACTGACTGACTCGCAATTAAAGCTCGGCCGGCATTAAGTTAACAAATCCCCAGATTTGTTACCCTACCCACATACCCGCAATTTTCATCTCCTTCCTACTTTGTTTGAGTCACAACTGACATCTTCAGCTCTGGAGAGCTAGCCCTTCGGAATAAAACCAGAACATATCCGAAGTTGTCCGAACATCATCGAAGACGTTCAGAAGATTTGTAGGGGCATGGGGACAATTGCGTTTTTAGCTGTAAAAACGCAAAAATTGTTACTTGGTCTCGATAATGGCGTTATGATGACGCAGATACGTCGGTTTTTTACATTGAAATTTGAATTTTAGTAACGTCGCTCGGAATTGCTAAACATAATGTTAAAGGAATGAGTCACGGGGCATACGTTACAGGCGCTCAAAACCGACTCTGGCATAGCCATTGCCATGCTCTGTTTTGGGTGCACTGATAACAAGACCAAGGTCCGCAGCGGCATCAGCAGTTCTGGAGAGTGGGGACTGGGCCCTTGACGTGTATTACATGTACTATTAGTTTCAAGTTCTTAGGTTATTTTGAGCATGAATTTACAGCTGAAAAGCGTACTAAACTAACTAGATGGCCAGAAAAGTTGCCTTAATGTTTCTTTAACAGCTTGCCTCACTTCTCTGATCTTCCAACAAAACAGCAACGGGTTTAATGATAAGTTCAAACCAAGAGAGCATAAAAGGGACAGAGAAGGCATCCCCCATACACACCCTATTCCATAGGTAATTTGTCTCGAGTTATTATTAGAATCGGGATAAAGTTACCTCGCGCGCTACGTGGATGTTTCGTGGAGGTTTCGCATGACTAAACGACGTGCAAAACAGTGTCGGGCGAAAGGCAATGAAAGCGTAAAGAGATCAAGAGAATTCCTGAATATTGAAGCGAAATGAGTCGGCGCTCACCTGGGAAAAGGGAATCGCTGGACTCTTTGACAACCCATGAAATCAGTTTAACTCGAAGTTGTCATAACCTCAGTGCTTTAATAAAATGAGAAATTTCGCCGGTCTATTGAAACCGGTCGTTTGTACAATAAAGCAAGTAGGACGCCAAGTGTTATTTTTGTTGAATAATAAAAGACTAATAAAAGAATAAATATCAAACCAGAAATTACGCTCTTCAAACTGTAAATTATAAATGATCCTGAGAGAATATTTAGTGTGTTCAGAATTTTCCTGTTGTACTGTTAGCTCTATACAAGAGAGGAAGGGCGATTCTTTTTTTAATTTCCGTTTCGCTGACACAGCTTTAGCAGAAATCTGTCTGTAGTCGTTTTCGTCGACAAGACGAATAGCAATATCGCTCTCCGCGTCTTTCGCCATTTTGTTCTGCATCAATTCGTGTAGGGCGCGTGGCTCTGAGCGTGGGTCATCCACGCGCAACACATTCGCGCTATGTGATTGGCTGTTGTCTAATCCCCCTAGAGATTTTTGGTGTTAAAAATAACTCGAGACGAATTACCTATGGATTAGGGTGTGTATGGGGGATGCCTTCTCTGTCCCCCTTATCCTCTCTTGGTTCAAATACACTAAAGTAGCCCTAAATTGCGAAGCACAGTAAACGGATAAAGACATCCCTTTCTGAGGTTGCAAAGTTACTACTATATACCATACGACAGATAACAAACAACCAATGTTCCCTGCACCCACATTGCACCACAATGTTCGTTCAGAACAGATGTGAGTTAAGTCACAGTCAAAGGCTCTACAGTAATTCCAACACAGAGATCAGTTATTGCTAGGTTACGATACAGGAGTTTGGAAGGTGGATGAAGTGACGTTCCCTTGTACAGCTCAACTAGGATTAGAGTGCTCCCCAGAAATGGAGTAATGGAAAGAAAGACATTTCAAGATATCACTTTTTTCCGTGAAAGTAAATTACTCATGTTGCCTTTCCCCCAAACCTCTGGGAGAGTGGCCGCTTGAACTGTAGTTTATAAACAGTGATACCAGAAACTCATAGGGGGTTGAGACGTTCAATGCTCGTTAATATTAACTTTTTCTAAGTACAATATTTGTAAATCCTCGGTGCGACCAAAAAAAAAGAAATCGGTTTAATGACAACAAGATGAACTGATCGAGATGGAATAAGCGCGATAAAGTTTGAAGCAGTGCGAATACACTTTTTAACCGTTGTCGTTGCTTGAGCTCCCTCAGGTCACGTGGTGGACTCTCCGCCAATGAAAAGGAAGAAAAACTTGCATCGAATGATAATTAATTTTCTTGTAGAAAGGCAACGAGGCTAAAGGAAGTCTTAATAGCAGTCCAAACATGTCAAACTGTTTACCTTTTTAAAATTCTCTGTGCGTCTGTTTGATAAGTGAAATGAGAAAGCCATTAGGACACTAATTTCGATCGAGCGTACCCCAAAACTATCATAGTACCTAGGTATATCATAAGGATTCTCACTTTATGGCAACAATATTTTTCTCAACTAATTTTGATTATAGCCCATGCCTTTTTTTTATTAACACATAAACACCTGTCTGCTATTTTATATGTTAATATATGGTTTAAAGCCCTGGCAAGCAAATTAAAATTCACGACACATAGATTCGTGTTATTCAGTTGTATTTTTAATTTTCTTTCCTAGTCCCTTTCCCTAAACAACTCGTATAGAAAGCGAAATATCGACTGTTCGTAGCCTTTTTCAACCGCCTCTTTATCACAATTAACAATGCTTTTGGTAGCCCGGACGAAACACGAACTTTAACGCGACTTCAAAGCAAGGTCAGCACTAACATCACAAACACGACCACCTGAGAACAACTAACAGCTGACAATGGCAAGAAAAAAAGCAAAGAATATTCCTAAAATGGCATTATGTATCCGCCAGTCGACGCCAGGTAAGCAAAAATTCAAGTACAAGTAAAAAGCAAAAGTTTAAAACAGAAAAACTCCCATGTGGACAAAATCAAGACTTACCTCGAACCAAACGAAACTTTGAAAATAGCTTTCAAAATACTTCACAAAGTATTAAATGTAGTTACAGTCTGTAGTTAGTTCAACGACAATTTTCGTATGAATAGTATACAGCGCGGAAAAGCATACTACACTAACATGAACAAAAGAATATTTGCCTTAATGTTTCTTTAACAGCTTGCCTCACTTCTCTGATCTTCCAGCAGTATAACAACGGGTTTAATGACGAGTTTAAGAACACTAGAGTAACCGTAAAATGCCATGCAAGGTAAAGGGATAAAGACATCCCTCTATGAGGTGTCAAAGCGTCCACGATGTTAAACGGCAAATAACAAACAACCGATGTTAACTGAACCCACAGTGCACTGTACACTGCCTTTCTGTATCGAGCTACGTTCAATGGAATTGCTTGGGTCGGTTGTACTTGAGCAACATGGTTCTGAACATTTATTTGATTATGACGCAGAGTGCAGGAAATTTTTGTGTAAGCGGAGATTGTGGTGACTAGACACAGAGCTGTAACTATGTATCGCCACCGATAATGTATATGAAAATTCCAAAATAAAGTAGATGAACCAACGATGGAGAGAAACCAGAAACCAAAAGCGATTATACATGTTCTTCTCAAAGTTACAACTTGTCTGTATCTGAGCCCCAACAACAAGGCGAGGAGTCTGTCCACGCTTATTGCAGTCGATGTTAATAGAGACACTGCACACAAAGTAGAAGCCAAGAAACCTACTGCCAAACTTGTGTAATAGCAAACATTCCATCTTTTATTGACAACAGAAGTCCAGTAAGCCCCAGCCAAAGGCCACACAATAATACCAACACAAAGATCAGTTATCGCTAGGTTACGATACAACAGTTTGGACGGCGGATGAAGTGAAGTTTCCTTGTATAGGGCAACTAGGATCAGAGTGTTCCCCAAAAAAGCAGTAATGGAAAGAAAAATATTTAAAGCTGAAATGAAAACGCGCACGCCATCTACACTTCTGATAAATTCCGCCGAGCAGCTCAGTTCTCTAAATGTTTTCTGGTTTTCATCGTCAGTAAAGTTTGTCTGTGCCATATTTATCAGCGGTGCAATGAGAGGCAAGTGTGGGCTTTATTTATTCACCGTTTAATTTATTTGGGTGGAAAGTTATATGATTCGCACACTGCCGGGGGGCCGGTGTTTATCACTAATAACGTAAGGCTGGATACGCGGTAATTCTTAGTATTCTTCGTCGAGCCAGACGGTGCCGGGGAGTTACGTTCAGAAAGCTAACCTAGATCTATCGGCCAGGCTCAGGTCAAACTAACTCGACTCGACGTTTTAATGACTTCACATGTTGCCTGTTCATTGCAAGCTTGGCCTGCGTCGCAAGCGTTTCCGCGCGAGTTCGTCGAGAAAGTTGGGATGGGAGCAAAAAAGGGGGGAGAAGGAGGGGAAAGAAGAAAACGCTTGCCCGCAAACCCACGATTTTGAAAAACTGCGTTCGCCCACGAACGCAGCTTCTGATTGGCGCGGTGCGGGTAGTGTTGATTTAATAGCAATCAATACATCAATCAAACAAGGTATGTACGTGCGTTGCAGATTAGCCTGTTCCAGGCTCTCAGATAGTGGGGAAGACGCGAAAGAAAAAGGTACACAAAAAGTTGCTGCGCTTTCTCAATTCAGCGGACCCGACTATCTCGGAGCCTGGAACCGCCTAGTCGCAGATCTGGTCTGATCTGGTCTGTTGTCGCAGATTAAAAATGCTGTGGACTGATATTTATTTGTATCGTGTTTGTGCGAAGGTTTATCAGATCTGTCAAATCTGGCGATTTGTCAACTTTTTGAAATGAAAAGATTCTTTTTGTTTATTGGAAATTTAGCGGCATGTATTGTAGAGAACGTTTCGCCATGGCCTGGAGAGCAGCCGCTCTGCTAATCTCATAGCCGGCGGAGCGAATTGTTCCGACCAAACCATTTGCCAACGGTAGAGGGGTTTACGGGCAAGCGTTTCCTTTTCTCCCCTCCTCCTTCCCCCTCATTCCTCTTTTTTGCTCTCGTTCCAACTTTCTCGACGAACTAGCGCAGAAACGCTTGCTACGCAGGCTATTGCAAGCTTGACGTTCAGCAATTTATTTGCATTCATTTGGCATAAAATTTTAATAACTAATGAGAGAATACAAGCTGCGAAGTTTACAAGCTTGAGCAATCATCATTTTCTCAGGCGAGCGTTAAAATATATGCGTTCTTAACAACCAACTTGAAGTCAGATGGCTGTAAAAAGATATAATCAGTGAAAGCAACAACGGTTTTAATTTCCGTGTCTATTAGAGGGGGGCAAAAACTGAAAAACTTCGCAAATGCTAAAAACCATACGGGAAAGAAACCTTGGCTAGTAGTCAGGGTATATTAAATTTGTCCACTGACTGCCATTTCACAACCCTGTAACTACTCGTAAGTCTGAGCTTTACAAATTACTAACATTAGTATTTTACCACAGCATCTACATTTTGTGAACTAATTATTTAACCGCATGGTAACTTCATCCTTAATTAGTTCTTCCTGTTTCCCTTAATAATTACACTGTTAATGAACCAAGTCCAAAGCAGATGATGTCTTTGTTTATTAATTAGTTATAACTTAAAACTTCAAATAGATAGAAAACAACCCTAATTATGACTCGTGCATTAATTTCATATCAGTTGCTACTGAGCTCAGTATTCGGCTTTATGAGCGAATAAACATTTTTAGCAAAAAACCCACGCAACTACCATTTGTGTTGCGCAAGATAAATATTAGGAAAAACACTGAGATCTATTAACACTCTCCCCCTTTCCCCTGTAGGTGTATATTTAGTTGCGTTCCATCCCCCTGATAGTTCTTATATTTTCTTGGCTCTATTTGCGGTTTTGGCACCCTGAGAGCGGAGCCTCCATTTTCTTCTTCTTGATCGAGAAGAAAAGGAGACTCTCTCGATCTCTCTGCATGAGTCGTATCAAGCATTTGAAGTTGACCGACGAAGAAAGAACATCTGGACTAGTTTTTCTTGTTTTCTCTCGTCGAACTAAATTTTTTTTTTTAAAATGCGAGCATCCGTTTCGGCTGACTGACCGCCGGTTATAACTGCGCTGCTGCACCAAACGCACAGCTATTAGGCCTGGGTTCGAAAGAAGGGAGAATGAGCTAAGAGAGCGAATCTCTGTGCCCTATGATAATTTTTTTTAAATCTATTTAAAGTTTGCGCCCTTGCTGCGAAGGTTATTTTTGTCTGTTGTTTCCGTGACCCGAGTGGTCTACTTTCACGTGAGCGTGACATATTTTGCCGCCAAATATTTGAAGTTTTACAGCCATTATAATAATTAGCATCAGGAGCCGGTACTAATCGGTTCCTGTTGTTGACATGTTTTTTTATCAGCGCGTTCCGCTCATGATTTAGGAATGAATTTCATTTACAAAGGGATTGCTGTATTGGAGTCAAAATTTCACTTTGAGATTAAAGATTGAGATTTTCTAACGGCTGGTAGCCTCATTTTAAGTAACGAATACTGAATTCTGACACACTGTGAAAGCCAAAGGCAAAGTTTATCACGCGGGAAACACGAAACCTTTAATAAGTGGCTGGCTTCAATTGTTTATGCAAATGTGCAAGAAATTTTTTCTCTTTTTCTAGGAATATTTTTCGTTCATAAACAGTACATTTCCTTTTAAGAATTATTCTTGAAAGTTTCAAACTGCATTTCAAACTGCACTGCTTCTCAATGTCTAATACTTCGGATAAATATTTCGCTGTGCGAACACAAATCAGGTCAGATGCTCCAAGCTGTGAAACAGTCGCTAACCTGGATGCCAGGATGCTAGAGACTTTTAATGCGCGGTTTCCGGTTTCGGCCAATTCATTATAGTAAGTGGCGTTTCCCCATTTGTTTAGCGCCCTCTCAAAATTTAAATGTTTGGCGGCCAAACATTCATGTTTGAACCCACTTTAAACCTATTTTCTCGTAACGTGTCCACGGTTGGATCCAAACGATGGTATCACAACTCACTGGTGTGCGTGGCTGTCGTGGGAAGAGACAGTTGTTGGTTGTTTATATACTCATGTAGCGAAGCCCTTAATAAGCAATTTTCGTCGAGTCCCCGGGAACCGCATTCTCCGCCGAACTCCGACAAGCCAGGACCGTTATATTCTTCGGCAGCTACTTTGGCCAGATTCTTTCACGTAAAAATCTTTTGACTCGTTGACGAAAGTAATACCAATTTTGCACGTTATATCGCTTGCTGTGCGTGATCGGCAATGAAATGAATTACCCCCCAAGTTTAAAATTTCATGTGGCCACTCTAACCGACCAATAAGGTGTCGTCCCTAAAATAACCACGCAGTATGACAAAGAACCAAGAATAGATTAAAAATAATTTTCATGGGAAGAGGGTCATGTATGGGGGATTTGCTCTCTTAGATCATTCTCTCTTAGCTCATTCTCTCTTGTTCGAAAGAAGAGAGAATGAGCTCTCTTGGTAATAACAAATCAGTTCATACAGTCAGTATAAATATAAATAATGAATATTTAAATAAAACTAAAATTATAATAATATCTCACAGAAATTGTAATAGTATCGCAATAAAAATTGTAATAAATTTCTCACACACTAACAGCTAAAAATAAAATAGCGAAAAAAAAGTCATATTCAAAATTTCAAATAAATTTTATAGCGTAGCTCCACGCGCCTGTCTATCCATCCTCGAAAATTTGGTAATCACGTGACCGTCCCAATGTTCGTCCGCACCACTGGCATACCAATGTAAAATAACTCAATCAACAGGTATGGCAACCCAAATGCAACTCGAGGTTATTACGGTTGTAAATTGCATAGTCACCCACGTCTTGTGAAGCAGAGACAACAGAAACGAGAAATGAGAAATGCTAGCGGCCACCAAGGAGAATATGAGAGGCAGTAAAAAAGTTAACAAGACGTACGACAATTTAATTCGTGTATGTATGGCGGAAGCGCCCCCAAGGGGGAGCTATGCAACAAAGTATGTACGTATGTGTGTATGTATGTATGTATGTATGTATGTATGTATGTATGTATGTATGTATGTATGTATGTATGTATGTATGTATGTATGTATGTGTGTGTGTATGTATGTATGTATGTATGTATGTATGTATGTATGTATATGTATGTACGTATGTATATAAGTTTCTGGAAGTTTCACGTTGTAGTCGTGGAAAACAACGGCAAAAAATGTACAAAAATAGTGTGCTGTGCAAAGTTGGATTTTTGGTAATTAGACCTATGTTGTTGCCTTCGCCGCTTAGCATTACTCGATTTTATACTTTGTTTGAGCAAACGCTAAATATTATCGAGAGCTTCGCTTTTAGGCCTGCCTACATCTATTTATAAAATAACTAAGATTGTACGCGCGCTCTGATTGACCGAGAGGAGTGTTTGCATGAGAGTATGCATATGTAAACGTGGTTGTGGCGTCAAGATGTTTTGCTTTTCGCGCGCTAATCACGCAAGCACGAATTTGAAAAAGTTTTCGAGTCCAAAACTCCACAAGTTTACTTTATTTACCCATTCGTTCGTCGGATGTAACTTGGAAAATCGTTACAAAGAAGGTGTGTTAATTTTTCTTCGCCTAAGCTGACATTTTAAGCTAGAAAAATCCGTATTTTGGAAAGAAACTTTTTGCAAAACAAGAACTGATAACGCGTGCAAGACTTCGTGGACAAGACTTTTTCTACTGGTAAGAATGTCTCTTTTAATCAGTGCCATACAAAGAGTTTTGCGTTTTTTCTCGGGAAAGTTATTTAATTATAAAAGCAATAGAAAACTTTTTCCCTGTGTTTGCATAGCCTGATATAAACACTTGAGGCGTTAGGAGAATTCTCGACAGTTAAGCAGACCCTCGACTTCGTGTCGGGTAAGCATAACTCTTTCGAATTCTCCCAACCCCTCTCGTGTTTATATCAGGCTATGCAAACACGGAAAACGTTTTCTTTGCTTAAATATTAGTTTTAAATGTCAACATCGCATGCATGCCGAAGGACCTCAAGAGGCAAGGAAGCTTATAAGCTACGACGACGACGATA